ATCCATGTCCTCAACGTTTGTATGATATCAGCCATACTTTTCGCATTACACTTATTGCGATTCGGTAATTTTTAAAAACGTCAACTGAGATGCCGCACGCTTATGACCCATTATATATTCTATTTGACTTCTTTGTCCCTTTGTCTACCCTCCCTATTGGGTTGCAGCATCGGCGACGTGTCACCGATCTCTTCTTACAAAAAATATCGTTATCAATTTCTCTCTCTTAACGCATCGCAACGTGTCACCCGATCTCATGGTTCTTCCTAGATAAATATTATTATCAACGTTTTTGACTTTCTTGAAAGAAAGAACTGTAAGAATGTAGTATGATTTCATCATCATCTATCTCTCATTGAAGGCGCTTTGTGTAGCAGCCGATACATCGATGATGTGCCACCGATCTTCTAGACAAAAGTCCACGTTATAATGGACGCATTTTTTAGGGTGAATGTTGGGGTGGGTGTTGGGGTGATGGCGCAACGCATTTTTTTTTTCTACAGTTCGAAAAGGTGACCGCGGGGTCCACGCGGCGGCGGTGGTGGCACTGATGCCTGCGGAGATGGGGTATTGGGTGGCGGTGGTCCTAATAATACGTGACACCACAACATGGCGATACGTATCATCATATCAATAAACACTGATAACAATGGGACTCATCATATCAGTAAACACCGATAGTGCCGGGACTTCCCGCGCCTCCCTTCCCCGCGCCTATCAGTACTCCCCGCGCCTACTCCCCCGCGCCCCGCGCCCCCCTCAGAGGACCTAGGTTAGAACCGCCACTGTATTAACTACTATATTTCATTCTCTCAATACTACAGTAACGATTAGTTCAATAAAATGTGTATTACCATATATACAATATATTTTCAACGCTTTCATATAATCCCGTATTATTAACTTTTTAATTATGCTACTGTGTAATAATATCATTTTTTTTGTATGATGTACTATTTTTCCTTATTGTTCATCGAATGTAAAGAAGGACAAATGATGCATCATGCACATCATGCACTCAAAATCTATAAGGTATTTACAAAGCAGTATGTAATATAGAGAAATTCAAATCAATCTTATCGCTAAAATATAAAGCAATATTCACGCGACTTATGTTGACTGACACAATAATTGGATTACTATAGAGCAATGGGATTAAAATTAATCATGATTTTGGTGCACGTTCCGAATTCAAATGCCAATTAAACTGAAACATATTAAACAAATCCTTATAATGTAATAAATAATATGATACTTATAATATAGTTCTAATTCTAGTTGTAAAATCTTGAATCTTGTCATAACAACCAGAAATAATTTCTGATTGTTATGACAAGAAATTTTGGTTTAAATATAATGCATTTAATTATACCCGCGCGCATCTTATTTATATAAAAACATAACCAAACAAAATTTCTCATGCATTACTACGAGAATAGGAAGTCTGTTATATACCTGCGTAAGAATTATTGTAGCGGACAAAACTGTAGAATACATCTGAAAGAAAGTATGCTCCATTACTTAATGGAAACAGTTTTATTAACCTATTTGCTCAGAAAGCGGTCCACCGGAATACCTCCACTGATCAGGACTCTACGCCAAAAGTGTATACAACATATATGGACAGTTTTTGACATTACTCCTGAATAACGTTAACATATTTAAAAAAAAAACTATTCCTTAAAACAAAATGATTATAATTTTTTCGTAAACCGTGTTTTTATTATTTCCTTCATGCCAGTGGCATTATAGACATCAATATACTACTACTACTACTAAATGTTTAATATATATCATTTGACAAAATCAATGTGTCTTGGTTGTGCACGAGATAATTTGGCGTAACTCTTATTATAAGGAACAGGATAAACTTTACTTCGCGAATGCTAGCTATAGCCAGCGTCTATACGCTTTGTGAATGCCGGTCATAGCCGGCATTAGGAGCAAAAGGGTTAAATTCAAAAGAATTATTTGTAAGAAGATCTAGAATACGTTCTATTTTACATATACGCGTTTATTTTATTATATATATATATATAAATATATACAGAGTGGGGCAGTAACTCTATTTACTTAGATTGTTTCGCCATTTTTATAAATATGATATAATATTGACATATGATATGATATAATATGATATGAAATAATATATGATATGATAAATATATGATATGAAATAAAATATGATATGAAATAATATTTATTGAAGATAATATATTTTTATTGAAGTTGTATAGCATCAAGAGGGGTACAATATATTGGTAACAGTTTTTGCTACGGGTGCGAAAATTTCACCTCCACTTTTTTAAATAGAATTATATGATTTTTTTTTACACAATATGCTTTCTCTAATTATTCTGCATATAAAACTATTAAAAAAGTGGTATCAAAAAGCCAATCGTTTACGAAATATTTTCTACTTTATTCTGGCATATACATATATTGACATGAAATATTAAATAACTTGTAAATTATTAATATTTTTTGTATTCCTTAATAATTTTATGAATAGAATAATGAGATAAATCAATTGAAAGAGAGAAAATACATAGTTATGCTTATTTAAAAAATTATCCTTTTTACCAACATATTTTTTTTTAAGCAACTATGTGTTTCTTTCCATCAACTTATTCATATCAATACTCCGTTTATAAAAGTATTAACGTTATGAAAAATTATTATAAAATTAAGGATTAAAAAAATTAATTGTTTAAAAATTATTAAATATTTTACGTCAACATTATGCCAGAATAAAGTATAAAATGTCTCGTAAACTATTGGTTTCTTGATACACTATCTTTTACATGCAGAATACTTAGAGGTATTATATTGTGCAAAAAACATTATACAATTTCATTAAAAAAGTGGAGGTCATCGAAACGCTTCTATCCATAAAAAAACTGTTAGCAGTATATTTTCTTGATGCTATACAATTTCAATATATATATTATTACGTATTTTTAAAAATAACAGTAAATATTTTAAGTGGACAGAGTTACTGCCCATTCCTGTACATATATACGTATATGCATATACGTTTATTACATTTATATTTTTATTTAAAAGAAGACATACCTCACAGATAAAATTATATCCAAAGTAGTATTGTCCCAAGCCAAATTCTACTTTTGTCTGCTTTATTTGCAATATAAACTGCAAAATCTAATTGAAATAAATAATTTAATAAGCGTTTAATATACACTAACATGATTAACATTTCGGATACTTGCTAAATTGTATTAAACGGAGAAGTAAACTTAAGACATTATTATAAAACATCAATTATGTTTTATTGTCACAGATATCAAAGAGCAACTCTACGTTTAATGATATTCCGTTATTTTTAACTTCAATATTAGCCAAAATTAATCTATTTTTTAGTTTCAAAGTATAGCATAATAATGTCTGAACATAGTAATGAATTAAATTTAAGTCAAATTTAATACATTTTCAAGAGTTAAGTTATTTAACTACAATGGTTTAGTTTAATTAACGACATATTGTGTAGAAGCAATATCGACATATAAAAATTATTAAAAAATAAATAATTCAAAATGGTTATACAATATTACTAATTTAACGTATTGTTCTTTTTTATATGCATTGTTGAGATATTTGTACATATCAACAATTACAAAATCTTTGTCAATTATTTTCAATTCTATATGCGAAAATGCATTGAGCATATTTTGCAGAATATTTATTAGCGTGATAGTAGAATATAGATAGTATGATAATAGAATTGATAGAATGATAGTTTGATAGCGGAATTGTTGAACTGATAATATATTAATGTAGCATGAAATAACTTTCAATAATTCACTTTTGTTATAAAAAATAAAAAATAATTTTTAAAACTTTTTCTAAATTATCCTTATTTGTGACGTTAGAATGTGTGTACAAGTATTATAAAGTATATAAAGGAATAACACAATTATTATATAATGGCCCAATTTTGTACATAATTATTCCATGAAATTTAGGTACGTATCCGAATTTTGAGAGCTAGTAAAATTACATTTAAGACAAAGACATTTAAAATTCAATTCAAAATTTTGTTGTAATTATTTACCTGTTTACGTAAATTTTCATCGAGATTATAATTGGACAATTTCTGAAGAATTGCTACTGTTTCATTTATCTAAAATTACAATATATTAACATTAAAATTTGTAGTAAAATTTTGTATTTAATAAATAAGATTTTGTCATTTCAAATAAAACTTTGACATGTAATTTTATTGCTGCTTGTACATATTATTCTAATTATAATTAATTATTAATGCTTTGATCTACTGTAACTATACCTTAAAGTAAACAGTTTGACATACGTAGTTCAACATGAGAAATAAAATGCTAAACAAAATTAAATTAAAATATATATTTAATTGAAACACAGTATAATGAAATGTCCATATTCCCTGATGATCTCCAAGTAAGTGATACATTGATAGACACAACGCTACAGCATAAAAAAAGTACCATATCATTTGTAGTAACATTTGTACTTTGAATATTACGTTTAGTTTGCGTGATATAAGACACAGTTGTAAGTGGATGTGCCTGTAAATAAAGTATAATTGTGATAATAAACCGAAAGACATACGAAAAGTAAGCAAAATATATTTTTAACGTAGAATTCAATATAACAATAATGTTATAGAATTCACTTATAAACAATAATGTTATAACTTGCGGTTCACAATATATGATTATTTTACGTAATTGAAACTAATTATTCGTAGAGGAAAGCCCCCTATTATGAGATATGCGCCTAATATGACATAGCGGCATTTCTGCTAAACTAATAGACGCTATCTATCCACCATGAATTTATTGCTCTTGGATTGAAAACTATTTAATATTCATTATTAGATCATGCCTGTAGTCATTGTAAAATAAGATTTTAGAATTTGGATGTCTTCAAGTTTCAATGAAATGAGCATTTAAACCTTGTTTATTATTTGATAAATATTTGGCAATAAATTCTTCATATATAATAGAGTAAGGTCGTACTAATAGAAAACTACAAGATATGTTAAATTGTTTAATTATACCAGTTTGATGATCGTAAGACGGAAAATCGTAATATGAGATACTCAGGGTATTCCTAATATGAAATAATGTTCCTATGGTATAGTAAAAATCGTTGCTAAAGTATAAATGTTATTGTACAATAATAAAGACAACTGGAATGAATGTCGAATGCCTATATCTGCGATGCTTGATTCCAATTACTTGAAAACGAGTTCTGGGTATAATCTATCGCATGCTCATTTTTCGCGCACTGTCTTCTTTTTTAAATACCTTTTGAACATATTATTTGTTACTTTTTTTAATACTTTTTGAACATATTATTTATTGCAAACATCTAAAAAATATTAGGTTGATAATTTAAGAATGTTTTAGATATACAGTACCTACAATAAGAAAATGAAATTTGGACGTATGTTTAACATTTCGAATAAAATATATACATATAAAAGTTGTGTGTATAAGATCATATTTTTGTTTAATAACACATTTTTGTAGTATATTTATTTTAATTGTTATTATTTTCCGTGAAAATTGTATTTTCTTGTTATTGTTAAATGTTAAATTTCTTTTAATGATAAAAAAATTTACATTTTTCTTTTAGAAGTGCTTTAAATATTCACATAAAATAATTTATTCAAAGTTTCATTGCGATTCACTGATTACTTACAAAGATATATTACTAAAGATAGAATAAAGTATTTTGTTTATTTACTGGACAACTAGTTCATGCACCGCAATGTAACTCTACATATATAACCCTGAATACATAATGTGCTTATATTAAAAAATTGAGATATTTATCATTTATTCTATTACATACAATGCATTTTCATATATTTATATTAGAACACAGATTTAAAAAATACTACTATTTATTAAAACTTATTATCCAGATAATAAACCTTTGTCACGTTATTTTTAAACGTGATTTAGAATAATCTGTAATTGTCTCTTAATTTTGTTATCATTTTGAAAATATGTATAAAATATCCTTAATTCTCTGCCTCTACATTTAATTTATTATACCCATTCGAATTTAAATTTTTTCCACCGTATAGTTTTAAGGGGACGTAAAGACAAATATTCATATTGTAAGCATTTATACTAACGATTTACATGTCATCCATAAATCATTACATACTACTACATCAATATTTCACGCACATGTAGATACATGTAAATTTTCATGTAACAATAACGTTCTAATTGAACGTCTAAGTTCAATTTTAAGAAATCCACATTGCTTCTTTGTGGAAACTGCTAATCTGTGGACTATTATTTCATAAGTACACATTGTACAGTTTTATTAGAAGCAAATATTGTTACGGCTCTTTAGCATCATATTGGACTAAAAAATGATAAAGAAATTCTCAATTTCGAAACTTTTTGTCATTCTCAACATTAAGATTCTATTTCGCAGACATGTATTAATGCTTATTCTTAAATCCTGGAGAACGATTTTCGAATGAGTAACAGAGACATAGGTAACTGTTATACAAAAATTATGTGTTTTGGTAATACAAATGATACTCATGCACGCACGCGATGCAAGACAAAGCGAGCATTTTGAATTTTTCAGAAATATTACTGACGTATGGCATTGTAATGTAAAATATTTTTTTAGCAGGTTGTTATTAGAATTAATGTTAGTAGTCGTATCTGCGTATAAATTGTATTTTCTCGTTAATGTCTTAATTCTATAATTAACTGGAGAAAATTATGTCGGTAGTCTCAGATCATCAGCTAGAATATGAAAATAAATTAAACTGGGAGAAGATTATATTATTGGATAAGGAACTTTCAAAAGAGACTCACATCTGAAATGATATACATAAAAAAACATACTAACGCAATAAATAAACAAAATGATATGGAGCAATTGCCAGAATCATACTTTCCATTGCTTAACATATCTTCCCCAACATAACTTCCGAGATACCCCCTCCATTAAGGTCTCTACAAAACTATTAATAAGCCGACAGTCATGATGAGAGTTGAACATAACATCTTCACTATTAGAATTGTTACAACAGAGTAGCTACGTCTTGATAATACTCATGGATGTTTTCCGTACATAGGTATTATATTACTCATTTTATTCTAATAAAAAATTTTTGTAAAAAAATACAAGAACGTGTTTCATATAACTCTAATATGATTTTTGCACATATGTATGTATGCGTAAGTAAGAGGAAGAAACTTTGTGATACTGAAGATGGCCTAATTTGAGGCCGAAACGTTTATTTTATTGTTAATCTATTGTATAAAATTCTAGCTTCGGACATCTTACGTTGTAGTGTATGCCTTTGTATTATTTGTATATGTGTATCTATAGTATTTCGTAAATTTTTGATTTTTTTATATTTCTAATTTAATACTTTTACATAAAATTAGAGAGAAATAATATTACGCAAAAAATTCCATTTTAAAATGCGTAAATAAATATAACTTCTTTTAACGTCTTTTTCATTGCGATTTTCATTGTATCTCTATCTAGAAAAGGATAATGTGATCACATTAGGCTCCTCTCGAAGTAGTTATACTTTTATAGAAAACATTTTTTTTATACTTTTTGAAATATGTCGATGCGAAAGTTGAAATTGAGACATTCTTTATACATATATATATATATATATATATATATATACCAATGCGCGTGCATGTGTGTATACAGTACAATTTTATTAAATAATTATTACATTATAATCCATATATATTGATTGTGATCCTTAGCTCCTGTTATCTGCTGATGCACAAAGATATATCTGTTTTGTATTCTGTAATCTGTACTACTTTCGAACAGATCAGAATATAATACACGTAAACATTCATTGATTCGATGAAATCTGGAGCTTATGCATCTAAATTGAAAAAGAATTAGTCATATCTTTTAATTTTATAATATATGCATTATATATAAGCATATTAATGCTTATTGCGTAATAAATAGTTAGAAGTCGGACTAAATTAGAATTTTATTATTTATTTGTTATGTTTTTATATATTTTATACATATATGAGCAGCAGAATGAGTTTTGTCCAAAAATTTATAATTCAATTTTAATTGTTTTAAACTATAATTCGTTTACAGATAACGAAAAAGAAAACCAGAAAACTATGCGCCTTATAGAAAATAACAATA